TGGGGGGGGACCCAAAAGCCACCCCCCCCCCCCCCCCCCCCCCCAACACACAGACCTTATTGCTGTGCTTTCCACACATACACACAAGCAGAGAGAGAGAGAGAGAGAGAGAGAGAGAGAGAGAGGGGCGGTTGACTTATTGGCATTATCTACCGTTAAATTGTACCGGTGTAACGAAACTGAGGGTCCTTGTAACAGAAAGTCCGCCGTCCATGTAGTTATAATGGTTAGGGTTAGTCTGAACAGGGAATTATATCGGATACAATTCACTGGTCTGAATTAAGTGGGTCAAAATCTAGGGCGAGATTCACCTATACAGATGAATGGGTAGCGGTTTCTCTGTTATGGGTGACTCTCTGTCACGTTACGCCGGTACAAGTGCGTGGTCGGGCGATAAAGTTTAATTACATGTTTACAAGCGGGTGTCCGGGTCCTTGCTGTCAAAAACAATTACGCCCAGTGGTATTTTAAGTCAAATCATTTTTAGTCATAAGTAATGCCTAGATGGCGCTAGTACGTATCCTGTTGTTTACATCGTCCGTGTCAGGGAGATAATTATAAACAAGGCACCGTTTATAAACTGCGTCCCGGAGCAGCGCGGTCAAAAACTAGGACGGCGTGTGATATTTTTAGAACGGGCGTACATTTCCAGTGACCCATTGTTCTGATGAAATAATGATATTTTGTCACGGGGTGCACGTGGTTATAAGGAGTGGACTTTGTCATCAAGATCGCGTGTTTTATGAAATATATCAGTAATCAGGGGCAATAGTTACCTTCTAACACAGGCTTGTAGCCAGTAATTTCAGAAATACACTGCATACGTGCTTAACACACAGACATGCTGTGAACTACCCGGCTCCCCCCCCCCCCCACCCACCCACCCCCTTACTTCTCACCCACTGCAACCACGATTTCAGAAAAAAAGTGGGCATTTGCTTATCAACATACCATAAACCTTGATGAAATTATTATTCAGAGCCACCAATATATTAGTGATAACATCCTGACCAGAAATGCGGTTATTTCGCCCACAGACCCGTGTCTAAGATGGAGGAATATATATTTACACGCGTTACGAAGGTTCTCAAAGCTGAGATAAGTGAAGTAATTCATACGTCGAGTGCCATTACCTTCATTTTACTCTGCAATAATTTACCTGTCACAACAGGTGTGGATGACATGTGTCACTGGAGGCATATGAAAGCTAAAAATGCGCCGTCTTTATTAAGATGAAACATTAAATGAACATTGATGCAATGCGAATTCGATACTTTCAAAAAAAAGTGCGATCAAGCAGAGTAAAGTTAAGTGGTCAAAATAAAAATGCAAATAGGTCTAACCTACGTACCCCGGTCTAACCTCCTTATAACCCCCACCCCACCACCACAACAACAATATTCATAAACAACAAAGTACTCCAATGTCTACAGCTAATCCCCTATTTACGTCAGCCCCCACAGTTTATAGAGATATATTTCACTTCTTCTCAACTGGAGACTCATTCAAACTAGAGAATAATCCTCCCAGCACCACAGGTAGTAACATGTCCGTCTTTCTCCCTGCTGTCTGTATTTCATCATTACCCCCAGTATATCTAGCTATACATTCAATATCTTATCTAATATCAGACGTAAAGGGACGCATTTTGGAGACAGACTCAGCGGGATGTGTCCACTCATGTAATGTTGTTGTCAGGTGTGTGGACGTTTTGGCTCATGGATTATTCATATAATGTGTCGTTTAAGAATGACGCGCATTATTGTGTATCTCGTACCCGCCGGGCACTTTAAATACTATTACCAGTGCGTCCCAGTTTCTGCCCCGGCACGAGAATTAAAGTTGGCGTCCTACTTCTTGACCTTTTGTAGGGTGCAATAAACAAGCAACGCATATAAAACTGGTTTGCTCAGTACGGCGTTTTAGTTATCACAATTAGGAGTCAGTAAACTGGTCGAAGAAAAAAAAACAGGTATGTGAGACAACTGCTGTTTATGGATTTACATTATACTAGATACACGTATTAATGATGACTTTTAGTTCATTGTGACGTACTCTAATTTAGTTTAGCTTATTATTTAGATCTAGCGAAAGTTAAATTGCTTCACAAAACAAACGCATTTGAGACATTGAGCTATTGTATACTGCTCTATATTATGTGGATATTATGTTATGTTATGAATATGTTACGCTGTTAGGCCACATTATTATTATTATTATTATTATTATTATTATTATTATTATTATTATTTAGTGCATATTAGTTCAGCTCTGGAAGAATAAGCCAGAGTTTCTTATGGCCCGGTTGGAGGATATAGAGAACAATAGAAAAAAAGAATTTAGAGTTTATTGTCCAGTCACAGTCAAGTTTGAAGCATACTAGATTACCAACATGTCTGTGGACGGGAAACACACTGGCTGACAAATGGAAAATAGGTTAAATGTATTTGTAACCGATTAAAAATTTAACTGTTATTTATTTTCAGACTACTCACAATGTGGATGTATTTGGTTGCTGTTATCGTCATCCTGGCTTCAGTATGGCTGTGGTAGGTACAATATTGCTGTATATCACTATCAAATATTAATGTAGTTTGGATACCTTCTTACTTATAAAATGACATTTTGGAGATAATATCAGTGAGCCAGGCTGTGCCTTCACGGGAGAATTGAAAAAAAATATTATTATTATTATTATTATTATTATTATTATTATTATTATTATTATTATTGTTGTTGTTGTTGTTGTGCAATACATGTCTTACTAATATTAACAATCCGTATTCTTTTCATTTAGGCAGAGGATAGACAATTTCCGTGTGTTCAAGAAGATGGGAATCAACGGTCCTCCGCCAAGCCTCATATTCGGAAATCTCACAGAAATAAGGGTGGGTTTTCATTCTAAAAATAATCCAGTTTTGCAAATGTATTCCTTTTTCTTCTTTTTTCACTCAGAAAAATCTGAAAATCTACTACTATTCCCTTGGCATTTATAAATATGTGCTGTATTCGCCATTAACATATTTTAATAAGTAATAGCTAGTTACACGCACCCTTTCAAAGCAACATGAACAACATCGTGAACCATAAAGTTTTCCCGACGCCTTCACCCAAGTGCTTTAAGTTAAAAGGGGGCGTGTCAGACATTTAAGCTGATTACATTGACTGCAACTTAGCAAGAGTTCCCGCGCTGAGATAGTTCTCTCCTGTTGGTACGATAACTTTTATTCTGAACAAATCCTTATTGTGTTCTCGGTCGCCAGATGACACGGTGTACAAGATGCAACAAGCTGTGACTACAATTATATATGGATACTTATTTTTTATCAAAGATTAGACGTAAGAAAAATATTCAAATTTGGGATGGCTATCTATAAAGGTAAAAACCCAGTTAAATTAAAATCCAGAGTTTGTTAAATTAGTCAGCATTTTGGATCCCAAACTGTGAACAACAAGTTGCAGCAAATGGTTCAATGCACTTTAATTTTCATCTAGTCCCAGCCGGTTTGGATGGCATACAGGAAGTGGGAGCAGTTGTATGGGAAAACATTTGGGTACGTATTCAAAATTCTCTTTATTAATATGTCATAAAAGGCCAACGTATTTGTTATTGTGTGTGTTTTAGCATTCAGCAACTGTTTAGATGTCTGATCACCCCACTCCGAAAGGAAACTGGGAAGAGGGGTCGGGGGGACGAGGAGTATGCAAAGTGTTGGCTGTAGGTCATCTGTGGTTGAGGTTCTAAAATGTGACGTAGATGTGCCAGTACTCAAAAGACTACCCTGTAGCAGCGCCACAGATTGAATGTTCACGAGATATTCACAGATATGTCTTCAGATAAATAGCAGCCGTTTTTCTATCTGTGACCCTTTTTTAAATTGTGCCTTAATGTCTGCCACCTTGGTTGAGGGTATCAATGGACTGCGTGCCCTACAGGTTTTACTACTGCACATTTGCACATGTACACGTGCATGTGTGCATAGGAGAGTCTCCCATAGTTTTCCAATAAACCAGTACCTCCTTTATATTTTAATACGCATTGCCTGTACTCTTGCACAGGCTTTATTGTATTATCCTTTCCGTCTTTCTATTCTCGTGATTAATGCATGTGACATCATAAGTTTTTTTTTTACGTGAACTCCACTGGGGCTTTAATATACAGCTTACATCTGGAATTCTAGCGATGTCATCGGCTCACCAGTGACGCGTATTGACAAGTAGTTTAAAGTTTAAAGTGCATCATGTAACGTTCAGTTCTTTCGTTGATGTTTGAAAAAAGCACTCACCTTTTGGTTCACTAACATATCTAGGCATATTTCGAAAACGGACCAATAAAAAAGTAGTATAGTTAATAAATGAAAAACACCCGACGGCAGTGAAAGACCTCAAATTTCTGCGGTTAAGAAACTAGTCAGCAGGCAATTGTGATAGCCATTATTTAGCCAGATACGTAGATGAATCACCACTGAACCATGTGTATAATGTCACATGGTCTTGTATTTATTTTAGGGTCTTCTTCATTAATTCTCCCAGTATAGTGACTTCGGATCTCGATTTTCTGCAAGAAGTCTTTGTCAAACAGTTCAGTAAATTTCACCATAGAGCAGTAAGTAAATTTTTTGGTAATCCTACACATTTTATTAGTGGCATCATCATCATAAAAATTTAACCAAATATGCTGCTCACACCATATAACAATTGTGCTTTTTGATTAGTTGATCTGCATATTAGAATAATTACACATCTTAGAGTAATTAAATGTAATTACAACATTGCACATTGATTTTTTTTTTACATATGCCACCCAATTGTGCATTGAAAATGAACAACTTTGGTTCATTTTTAGATCCCTGAGTCCATAGATGTAGAAGACGAAGAAACGGACATGCTTTTTGCTAAAGGAAAACGGTGGAAACGACTGCGGGTAATCAGCAACCCGACCTTCTCCTCTCTAAAAATGAAACAGGTAAGAGTACATTTGATCGTGGGAAGTAAATCGTCCACAAAGACACTGAACGCACTGTGACGCAATACACGTATTTCCAGTGGGTAATTGAGGTCAATAGTGTGATTTAAGTGCTATGTCCAAAAGGTAGCACCCGTAAAGACGGTGGCTTATTTTTCAGTCAAAGAAGGCCACACACACACACACAAAAAAAAAAAAAAAAAAAAAAAAAATGAAAGAAAGCAGTGAAAGGTGTTTTAAAATCCTCCTTTTTATATACTAGTGCCAGGAATCCGCCAAAGATAACATTTTAAGGGAATACATAATTTCCCTTTTTATTTACATACTGTTGTAAGTGACATATGTAACTGCATTCCATGGCAGATGGCGCCACTGGTCCAGGAGTCGGTGAAAAGTCTGATGGAAGCGATGGAAAAACGTTGCCAGGAGGGAAAGCCATTTAATATACATAGGTAGGTATTGTCGAAATCCTGTTTCATCGACTGAATATTCAAGAACTGAAAATTAGATGTCACATGGGATCTCATTCAAAACCGTGCGATATACCCCAGGCCTACCCAACTTCTAGACTCGGCACCGAACGATCCCGAATTCAGTACACAGTATCATACCCCGGAACGTATTTTGAGATGAGATGTACTACTTTCCAATCCAGCTCATAATCATCGCTATCACATAGACCCCATTCCCAGAGATTAGATCGATCTACTTTAGATCGACCTAACTCCCTGGGGGTTCACGCTTAATAGCTGTCAGCCGAGCGGGCACGAAAGTTAATTACCCCCTTACAGCTTGTAGTAGGCGGGACGGACATTTAAGCCGGATTATCTGACAGTTATCTAGTGAGAATCCCCGCGGGGATAGATCGATCTAAAAGCTCTGGGAATACGCCCATAGCGTACCAGACAAGAGCGTCTGATACATCGAAGCGCGTACTGACGCACACTATGAAAACGGGTAGTGTGGTCCGATCTTTCGGCGAATTTAGGATCATTCGCTGCCGAGTCTGGTAGTTGGGTAGGCCTGTACTCGTAGTATTTTACTCGATCTCTAATCATCTGTAAATCATCTTTCTCTCATTACCTCTTTAATGAAAATAATAACCGGAGTCTAAAGTCTAAAGCTGGTTGTAATTTCGGGCTGTTCAATATTTTTGCGGTTTCAGTGAATTCCAAGGCCTCACCATGGAAGTCATCGGCTCGTGTGGTTTTGGTCTCGAGCTGAACTCAGTGCGAGATAAAACGTCACCATTTCTGGCAGCATGTCGTAAAGTGTTCTCCGGGTCACTGGTGAGGATGGGCCCCTTCTTTATTTCCGGTATGATCACGTCGTGTCAAGGTCATCTATTGCATGGCAGTACAGGCTAACAGTGTCAGTTTGATTCATTAACGATTTGGGCTTTGAATGCTAGATATAAACCCAAGGATCAGGGAATCGATCAATTGTCCAATTGTCCTACCTGATTTACCTAATATGGCGCCACGCCAGGCATGTTGCGTTACACTAATCATCAACCCTTTTCAGCAGGAAGAAAAAAAATGTATTTGATTTGTTGCTGCTTTTGTTTGTAGGGATTTTTCCATCGATGACAGGCCTAGCCAAGGTGTTGAACAAATATCTGATGAGACAGAGGAGGCATGACATAGGCGTTCTGGTCAGCGCTACGATACAGTCCAGATTAAATGATCCAAAGGTAAAATATATAAGCCTAAAGCTATAAATTTAATATTTTATAGTTGATGAAGATAGATGCAAATTAGACTTGATTTGTTAAACTATGATAAACCCATAGAATGGGCAAACATGATAAGTATTTCAGTGACTTGAAAAAGACTGACAGTTGTTAAAACCATGCGCAAACTTTCAGTCTAGACGCGTGGATCTCCTACAGCTAATGTTGGATGCCAAAACTGACAATCTGGACTCGACTGTACCCCAGGCGATGACGGACAGTGACGTAATATCAACACAAGAGGAAGGCGAAACGGATCAGCAGAACGGCATTTCGTCATCTAAAAGCAGATATACACAAAAGGCGAAACTCACAGAAAAGGTAAAAATCAATCTGGTGTGTGTGTGCGCGCGATTGTGTGTGCGTGTGTATGTGTGTGTGTGCGTGTGCATTTCAAAGGAGGAATCCCATGCTTCACGACTATGCGCACACCTTAATTGACAATAATTATTCAAGCAAATTCCGCTGTAGCACAGTATGTTAGGACCTGGTAGATCCCATAAGTGGCATTTGAAATTAAAAAGCAGTTACTTAAGTAACCGTTTTTAAATGTAAAATGTTGGTGGGAGAACATGAATTAGAAATCACTGATTGTCGACTTTTATCAAAAAAATTAGGAGATCCGGGCGCAGTGTGCGTTGTTTTTGTTCGCAGGGTATGAAACCACCAGCACCGCCCTGGCATACGCCGCCTACCACCTGGCAACAAGTCCAGAGGCACAGAAAACTCTCCAGGCGGAGGTAGACCAATACTGCACTGAAGAGGTAAGTGTCTGCAGGGAAACAAGTCTCTTGAAGGAAAAGAATTATATACTGAAACAACAGTGTTGCAACATACATTGCTAAATTCAGATACCAGTAGTTCTATATTAAAACAGTTGGATTCAGGCGGCGCATTTGCACCTACTTTAAAGTAAATGGAAGATTAAAACAATTAAGCGCCAAGATCCTATAAAAGTATGTATTCCAAGTGTTTCAAAGTATTAAAACTGCGGTAGTGGGATGGATTTCCGAGATCACCCAATTGTTGCGCATAGTTTTGATCACATAACGCAAATGTGTCAGGTTGATGATGTAATTTTATGGTAGTAATTAGAGATGTTCTGCTCCTTTTCTCTCCGATAAGAAACAATTCTGTAATGTTAATTCACTCAGTTTCAAAGCTATGTATTACATATCAAAACTCTTTTTAGGGTCCTCCATCGTATGAGACCATAAGTAAGATGCAGTATTTGGATATGTTCCTCAAGGAATCGCTACGACTACACCCTATCGCTCCAGCGTAAGTGGACTCACTAATGCAAAATTAATTTATGTCTCCTCCATCCCAGTGCACCACAAACTTGCATAGTCCCATTTATAACAAAAGAGAAGGCAACAAAGTCTATCGGTTGTTCGTGATTTGGCCAAACAAGGCCGCTTTTATTATATAAACTCACTATCCTAATAATTTTAACAATAATAACAATGTAGCAAATTGTTGCCTACATTAAATGTTATGGCCTTAGGGATAAAAATTAAATAGGAAATATTAAACAAGACTCATCATCCTAAAAATAATGATGTGATGAGTCAGCAAAAGTTATTATTTTCAAACAATTTTGCACAAATTTCGTTTGTGGGGTTGCAGAGAGGCCCCCACTATGCAACGGTTATCGTAAGCTGTGACCCACGATAAGCAATTATTTGACAACAGTAGTGCATCTAATTTAGCTTGTCTGATTGCAAA